TGGATCTGCGTAGCATTGGAACGATCGAGAGATATAAGGTGATGTGGCCTAACGGTTACTCACAAAGTTCAAATTCAAAATCAGGAGGAAAGCCTAACTGCAAAGGTGGCGTAATGAGACTGACTATGACAGAGCATGTTCAGTAATTATGGGAGGACATTTCGACGGTTATCATTGACAAGTATAAATAGTAGAGAAGGCTCCAGAATGAGGGATCTAGACTCAGATCAAAAAACCAGTTTATTTACATCGTATTTCCTTCCAGTTTTTTACAGTTATTTACATTTCTGTATTTCAATTCATGTACTGCACTTTATTCCTAGGAGTAGTTTCAAATAGCTTGTTGCAATAAACCTCTACGAGGCTAGGTCAAATCATTGTAAGTGTTTCATTTTTATTTAATGAAATTCAGATTCTCGAATTATTCACTTGTTGTTATTTACTAAATTCTCCTAAAACAAGCCACCAGTAAAAGTTTTCTTCATTAAAACTGAGAGAACTAAAATACAATCGTCTAATAATTGATTGGCAATTAAATATTCTGTAAAGACTGATTGATTCTTATTGGCACGCTTAAAATTACATTATTAACCTTCGAAAGCCAAAAAAGCTAACATATATTTTTGGCACGCCCAGTGGGACTAATTTAAATGGCTAGACGTAGAAGACAAAGAGAAAATGAACGCATGGAAGAAAGTGTAGAAGGAGAGGTAGAAGTATTTGATCTAGAGGATAATGTGATAACACATCCTATGGAAGCACTTATCTCATCAAAACCTATGGTCGAATAGACCAATAATTCAAAACATGCACCACATGTTCAAAATATTGGACGAGGCCATAGAATTGGACCATCTACTGTTCCATCTGCTCAGCCAATGAATCCATGGAGAGGCCTGGTAGATGCCATGGGACAACAGTTAATGAACATAATAGAAAGATGGGCAATATCCTTTATAGATCGGATGAATTCCCATCAACCAACTAACACAAGGCATATGGAGGAAAATCAAATGTTTCTTAGCAAAGATTGGCTAGAGATAAACAGCCTATGCAAAGTAATGAACATACTGGTCAGACTAGTAATCAAAATTATGAAAGACCATCACCTATACCTCAGTCATGGTATGAGCCTCTTTCGAGGCCCATCGTGAATCAAAATGTCTCATTACCTAATAGGGAAGCCATACAAATTGGTGGATCTAGGCCAACACAAGAAAATGGCATGAGAATGTTTCAAAATCCCATGTTTGAAGCCATACCTGGCACAAAGGGGTTCACTAATTCTCTGTTCGAATTCATACTCGGGGGGTTGGAAGGGTTTCCTAAGGCTGGGAGAGAAACAACACCTGTTCCTTCTATTGTAGCCTCTTTCGCAGGTTTTTTCATAGGACAGGCTTAAAGAGGTCAACCATACCCTCAACAACAGCCAGTACCACAGGGACAGCCTGTAACAACCCCGACCCATTATTAACGTTATTCCATGCTTAATTATGCTTAACAAGTAATTAAGAAGAAATCTTGAGTTAATTACATGTGCATTACATTATTTTGTGTTTATATCTGTTTAACATAGAAAGATCTGTTCATGGTTTTATTTTGGTCTGCGAATTGAATACCTTATCGGCATCCGATTCAGAAATTGACTTGGTATATGTGCTATTTGGAATTTTTAGAACATTATGGTAGGCTCAATTGAAATTCGATTCGGAACGATTAAATTGGATTAATTTAATATCCATTTGATTAGTTTTAATAAACCAACATTAAATAAGCCTATATAAGGCTCCATATAAGCCCTACTCAACTCTTTTTCTTTATTGTCAAACATATTTGAGCTATTACACACACACAAACGTGTGAGAGAGAGGAAGGGACCAAGAGATGGAGTTGAATTCAAGAAGGTTTTGGCTTGGAAACTTAAGGCATTGGTGGTGTTGAACAAGACTTCTTAAGAATCAAAAGAATTAAGGCTTCTAGGTAAGAACTCAACCTTGCCACCTTGAAATTGAACTATTTAATACAAGAAACCAAAGAATTAAGCTATATGATGCTAGAATTGAGCTTGAATGAAAGAAAATGGGTCATACCATGCATGCATGCCCATTTCTTTACAAATTGAGCATGATTTCCAAGAATTCCCTCATGCATGTCTTGAATTCACTTTGATTGTGGGAAATTATCAAGTTTCATGTTGTTTTGTAGCATTTGATCATGTTATGAAAAGATTGAGTTCAAAGGAATTCATGCATGTCATGTTCATGGAACATTCATACATTTTAAGTTGAATTTTTACACAATTGGCAAGCTATTGGGCTATGATTTCTTGAAATGATCTTTAATTCATGTTATTTTAAGAGTTTTCAAGTATTTTCCCAAGTTTTGGCCCAGAAAAATAAAGTTTTGGTGCTTAAAGATTAAGTTTTGAACTTGGAGATCAAATTTAGAAATTCCAGAATTTGCATCTACACTCGAGCGTAGGAATCCACGCTCGAGCGACCACTCTGAGTATGTGCACTTCCGCTCGAACGACCTGAAGTACGCTCGAGCATGAAATGCAAGCCCTCAGAAGTTCTTGTGTTTTGCAGCACGCTCGAGCGACAAATGTCGCACTTGAGCGAGGGTCTGAGTCTCTAAGTCTCATGCTTGAGCAGGAATCAAGCATCCGTTGAGCGTGAAAAACAAGTAACCAATACTTTTTCAAAGTTTGTAGACCGCTCGAGCGAAGAAAGTTACACTCGAGCGAACCCTCACATTCTGCATGCCCGCTCAAGCGAGGAAAGCCACGCTCGAGCGTGGACCCTATTTTCAGCAAGTTTTGGAAAATGTTTTCTAATGCAATTTTGCATCCCCATTCCATCCTAGGCATTCCTAAGCCATGATTAAGACACCATAATGAGGGTAGTGTGTAGAAACACGCTATAAATAGAACGTAATGAGTTAGATATATTCCAACGTGTGTTTCAAAAGTGTTTTCGTTATGTGTTATGTAGGTCACGTGCCGTAAACCGTTTGATTAGTTTGCTCTATCTGTCTGCACCCGAAGCTAACTGTGAGTAATAACTTAGTAAAGCTATATTCAACTTTATTTATTTTCTGTATGATGAATTAAGATCTGTTTTCTGAAATAATATGTTCTGTACAATAAATGATTGTCCAATTTCTGACAATGTATTCGTGGCATCCTTAGCATCTTGTGATATCTGTTAACTGTTACCCGGTATCGGAGGTTCCATTATGGAACTTATTATGTCTGTCATTTGTTACCCGTACCGGAGGCTCCATTATGGAGTTCAGCATGTATATTCTTTGTTACTCGGATCCGGAGGTTCCTTTATGGAACTGGTTACTCATAACCACCATATGTTCTGCATCTGTTATGTATCTGCTCTATTTGCGCTAATGGATGTACCACTATAACTAAGCATGAACTCTGACTTCTATGCATGATTTGAACAAGGATATGAATATGAATCTGTTTATGAATCTGGTATGGACTTCATTCATTAAATCCTTTACTCCATTATTATTCTCTGGGCTTCCGCTCACTATTTATTAGGGCTGCAAATGAACAGAGTCATTCATGAAGAGGCTCGAGCTCGGCTCGGTAAGAGCTCGTTCGAACTTGGTTTGTTAATTTTTTTTTTTTTTTGCGTTCGAGCTCGAGCTCGTTAAATTTTTAATAAACAAGCCCAATCATTCCAAAACTCGGCTCGTAAGCTCGGCTCGTTAGCTGGCTCGTTTAATATTTATTATTTATATATTAAATAGTATAAAAATATGTATAAAAAATAAGAGAAATATACTATTTATATATTTAAAATATATAAATGTAAATAATAGTTAACTATAAATAATACATTTATATAATTGTGGTAGTAGATATTATTATTTTTATAAAATATTAACTTTTTTTTTTAGAATGTTTATATATATTGTATATATAATTATATAATCAAAATTTTAATTGTAACTTTAATCTCATAGGCAAGTATGAATTTATAATTTCTTTGACTTGTTAAGGTTCGTGAACAGGCTCGAGCTCGAGTCAAGTCTAAGACAACTCGACTCAAGCTCGATTCGTAAATTTTTATTGAGTTCGAGCTCGAGCTCGAATTTGTTAAAATTTTAATAAACAATCCCAAATACGTTAAAACTCAGCTCGACTCGGTTCGTTTTATATTATGTACGTAGGTGACCAAGCACGTGATTAGGGCCAGAGTTGACGGCCTGGGATTCTATTTTGTCAACCACCCTTTGCGTCTCCCGAGGAGGTTCCAGGCTAAGTCAAGTCATGTGGCCATGTCTTTTGAACGTTCAACACTTTGTTTTCCCCTGTTATTGAATAGTTTGCTTTTGGTTATTTGTACATGGGGTGACGTGTAATTACTGTACCTATGTGATGTCATGAGTATGCTTATAAAGTTTAAAATTATTTTGTCTCATGTATGTCTGCACAGCTCAATGGACGTTGTATTTTGTATATTTGCTTCTGCAACCCTTTGATTATGTGTTATTCTGTTCAGAGGCCTTTGGTAATCCAAGGATTACTGGCTGGTTACGATACTAAACCTATAAGGGGGTTTGGGTCGTGGCAGGATGGTATCAGAGCACATGTTATACCGCACACACGAGTCCATAAGAGCTATAGGATGTCCTAGAAAGAAGTAGGGGCATTCTATCTGCATGTGTGAGTGTGTGGTAATCATTAAAAATGTGAAAACTGAATTTGAAATCTGGCAAATAAATTGAAAGAAATGAATGAGATTATTCCTATGTTTATTATTATTTGGTGTCTCTATAGCAACATGGAGAATGTAAGGGGAAATGATACAAGTGAATCCTCAGAGGCTCGTATGAGCCGAATAAAACAGATATTTGCAGCATTGATCAAAGCTATAACACAGTAGAGACAACAACCTTTGCCTTATCCGCCTCTGTCGGTACAAGTTGAACCTGATAATAATGACATTATCAACCTAACACAGAAATTCATAAAAATGAAACCGCCAACATTCTTGGGTGGAATTGAACCGTTGAAAGCGGAGACATGGTTGCTTGAGATGGAAAAACTATTTGAAGTATTTCCCTATACCAAGACTCATATGGTTTTATTGGCCACCTATACTCTTAAAGACGAAGCTCGGAGATGGTGGTTACTGATTCGGAATACCAATGGAAACATGACGTGGGCTCGATTCAATGAGATCTTTTATGAAAAGTATTTCCTTCAATGTTTTCGGGACCGAAAAGTGTCTGAATTTCAAGAACTCAAGCAAAGCAGAATGTCTGTAGCTGAGTACAAGACTAAGTTCACTGAATTAACCAGATTTGTTCCTCACATGGTGGACACGGACTATAAGAAAGCCCACAAATTTGAAGGAGGATTAGACTTAGACATATTTGATCGAGTACGCATATTGAAGTTGCCAACATACGTACAAGTCCTTGACAGATCCTTAATGGCGGAAGCTACCCTAGCCGCTATGAGACAAAGTAAGGCCCCAACAACAACAACAACAACAACAATAACAGAATGGAGAGGAAAAAGGTCTGGGTATAGTTTCAGAAAAGGCCATTCTCATGTAAGTAAAAAGCAGAACACGAGATCTACAAGCAGCTCGAGTCAGAGTAGTGGGTCTAATCCAGTTTGCCTTGATTGCGAAAGGAGGCATAGGGGTGTGTGTTACCGAGCATCCGGTGCTTGTTTCCGATGTGGTAAGACAGGTCATGTAGTGAAAGATTGACCGCTTGGGTCTGATAATACCAACCGCCCTATGGCGAGTTTAGCTAGGTCCACCTCTATAGTCAAAACGAATACAAAAGCTAATACTGGGAAAGAACCTCTGAGACAAGGTCGAGTGTTTGCTTTAATGCCTGGTGACGTACAAAATACCAAAGCTGTGGTGTCAGGTATACTCCCTATATGTTCTCAAAATGCATGTGTACTGATAGATTCTGGTTCTACGCATTCTTTCGTATCGCAGGCTTTCTCTCGGAAATTAACTAGACCACTAGAACCTATGACATATTGTTGTCTATATCTACACCGTCTGGGGATTCTATGATGTGTGCTTATGTTTATCTGGCATGTGATATTATGATTGATGATATGACATTATATGTTGACTTGTTGCCCTTGAACATTGATCATGTTGATTGTATTCTGGGTATGGACTGGTTGACTAGATATTGTGCCACCATTGACCGTGCAAGTAAATCTGTTGTGTTTAAACCACCTGGTATGCCTGAATTTATTTTTACTGGAAATGGGGTAGTTCCTCTCCCATACTTGATTTCGGCCATGAAAGTTGTGAAATTGCTTAGGAAGGGATGTAGGGGCTATTTGTGTTGTATACTGACTGCATCAACTAATGGTACTAATACAGAAACTATTCCTGTTGTTTGTGAATTTATCGATGTGTTTCCAAAAGACTTACCTGGAAACTTAGTTGATAGGGAAATTGAGTTCACTATTGAAGTGACACCGGTAACGCAACCTTTTTCTAAGACCCCTTACCGAATGTCAATCTCAGAATTGAAATAATTGAAAGTTGTAGACACCCCATTTTTGACTGTCCTCAAGACTTGGACGTCACCGTTTGAACACTCAGTGATTATCCATGTTCGTGTTCGTCTTGAGTTCTCGGAGGTTTCGGTCGCGCGCCTTGCCTCAAGACCTCTCGACTTGTTTGCTTTGTGCTTGGTTATGCACCAAACACTTGTGTTTTGCTTCTGAGGGCAGGGAATGGCTTGTTGGCCATCCCCACACCTCACCGGCCTTGGCTTGAGGCCACCGGCCCTATTTTCTTGCTACCGGCCAAAGGGGTTGGTCGGTCGGCAATGTGTTTGGTCGACCGGCCCCTTTTGTTGGTCAATCGGCCATTTATGCTAGTCGACCCCTTTCCATCTGCTTTTAGAAGATATTTTGATGCCAACTGTAATAGCTGGCAACCACAATACCCTCCCTCCATACACGTGTATGGAGGGATTTCATCCTTGTCTAGCTTCCTTTGGAAGCTTTGCAATTTGTTTTTTCTATAAAAGGAGGGTCTCCCCTCCCTTTCCAAAGGTTGAACAACTCTGATATAGGGCATAGATATCTATATCTCTCTATCTCCCTCTCTCTATATATTTGTGTGTGTAATAGTGTTCTAAAGGGTGTTTTGTTCTTAGTTTTGCACTAAGACACCTAGTGTTACACCATACCTTGGTTATTGAGGTGTTGAGAGGTTGTTCTTGGAGATTTTGAGTTAGTTTTGATCAGAAAAGGGGGCTGGAGTTTTGGTTCTTGAAGTGTTCTTCAAGGGTGAGCACTATTGTTTTATATTCCCCATTCTTGCACTAGCTTTTAACCTATCTTGCATGCAGTTTTAAGCTTGGTGTATAACTAATAAAAGTTCTATTTTTTGTTGTTTAAGATGTTTCATTAAGGTCATTTTGGTGTTGGGGGTCGACCTCCCACTCTTAGGCCTTGTTTGGTCTCTTTTGTGTCTTCTTTGTTGAGCTTTGGGAACCTTCGTGTATTGGCCTTCTCACCACTGAAATCCAGAGGATTTTCAATGGTGAAGAAGAGGTTTTGAGGTCTTGCATAGGGGAGGGACACCCCTGTCCCTTTGTCTCTTTTTTGCTTATGTTTTTGACTCATAAAAGTAGCATGCATGCTTAGTTGTTTTTGGCATCATTTCAGTAGGTATTTGGTGATATATGGTCATATTATAGCTCTGTTTTTAGTTGGTTTGATGGTCCATTTCATGCATTATATGCTTGCCTTGTAATCTCATGTTTTGGCCTAACCTGTATCATGTTGTGAGATGACATTTTAGCATGATTTTGGTTTGACTCCATGAAGCTTTTAGTCCTATTTCATCATGTTTAAGGTCTGTCTTGGGTCTTTAGAGTCATGTTTGCCATGTTTTGTATAGCCCCTTTGCATTCTAGCTTGTAGGCCTTGAGTGTGTGTGCCGTAAGCATGTTGTAGTTGGGTTGTTTCAGTGATTTGGAGTCATTTCCCATGCTATTTCAATCCATAATCCATGCTTGTATGCTTGGATTCATCATCCCTTTCATGCTTTGAAGAGTCATTCTTTTGTGCCTTGAAATGGGTCATAGTGCATGCCTTTTGTTTAAGTCATTTGGGATGCCATTCATGTGGATTTTGGGGTGTATTTTGATGCACTAAGACTCTGTTTTTGGTTGCATAATCCATGTCATGTGTGGTCATAATAGTTGTAATGGAATGCTCCCTTTTATGCCTTAGTTTTAGGCCCATTGGTGTGCATGTTTGCATGAGCATTTGTCCATCATTTTTAGTACGTTTGGCCACTGTTTTGGGGCATGGCTGAAGCCTCCCATTCCAGTTTAAGTCCATCCTTGTATATAAATTGCATGATTGACATGTTGCATTACATTGGTTGCATGCTTACATTGTATCATGTTTGCATGTTTGCATGTTGTTTAGCTAGTTGCATTACATAGTCTCGTTGTATGCTTGACATGTTCATATTGCATTAGTTTGGCTTGCATGGTTAGGTAGTGTCATGTTGCATTAGCTTAGCATGCTCATATTTCATTGCATTAGTTGCATTACCTCGCATTGCATATGGCATACATACATAGCATTGTGTTTGGTTTGGGGTGTCAAACCAAACACGAGGAGTGAGGTGTGTTCGTACTCAAAGTGACGAAACACATCTCAATCCTCGGTCGCCGATGCCCTTGATCTCAACATGATAGGGCGGGAGGCATTCATTTGTTTTGTTGCATGCATTTATATTGATTTGCAAGCTTGGTGCCTTTGGCCATCATGCATCGAAATGCGCGACTGGTGGCCCAAGTACCAAGGGTCACACTCCCTTGAGTCCATAACATGATAGGGAGTGTCAAGCCCAAGTCAACTCGGCTCGAGTTCGGTTCATTAAATTTTTATTAAAGGTACAACTTAGGCAGCCTCAACTCTACCAACCCAATCCCAACTTGAATTTTTTTAGGGCTTGGACAAGATATTTTTGAATTCGGTATAGGTCTGGGTAAAAATTCAGAGGCCTGAACTAAATTTGGGCATGCTTAGGCAAAAATATCAAACAACCCAAAGCTCGAATTATACATATATAGATATATAGAAATATTAAATATACATATAAATTATTAGCCATTACATAATATTAAAGTAATTAGATTATTAAATTATATTGAATATATATTATATGCACAAGTAACACAAAATCTTACATTTTTTATTCTCATTCATAAATTATAAATACTATCATAACGGCATTTTCCTTACATTACATAAATTATTTGTTTTGATGTTATTAATGATTTTCTTAAAAAAAATATATATAAATAGAGTCTAATTCTAACAAATTAATAATTTAGTTAGAAAAAAAAATTCATGTACAATTCGGGCAACTTAATCAATTTAATTGGGTTTAACTCAGGTCAGATTTGGCAGACAATCTCAAGTTACAATTTTGGTGAGTTGCGCCCTTTTAATTTTAGGGTAAATTATCAATAAGTCATATTTTTTAGACTTATTACATATTAAGTCCTATTGATAAATCCATTAAGTGATAAATTTGTTAGTCTCCTATTTTATGAATAAAGTGATAAATTTATCAATAAAACCTTTAGGTAAACTATTAGTTGGGCAAGTGTGTTCGCGTGACACATGATTTTTCATCAACTATTAGTATTATAATTATGTGTGTCTCTTAAATTGGTATGTGATATGCATATAAAGTATGAAGACTTGCATGGGTAAATTGATTTGTATTCAAAATATAACTAAGTAAGAAATGAATACATAATTGACTAAAGAATTTAAATGAGAAATAAGAAATTTTATAAATATAAAATGTGTGCATAACGTACATTGTTTTTCTTAAACTTCATAACAGATAGGACAATTCCTATTTTAGCTCGTCTAATTTTGCTTGGAGAGCATGTTGAAATAGATCTTTTGTAGTTTTTGTTTCACCATCTTCTTCTTTTTCTTCTTACTTACTATTATAACTCATTATAATAATAATGAGTAAAAGTTTGAAGCGATATAATATTATTATGAATTTTAAAATTCATTTTCTTTCAATAATGTAATTTTTTCTGTGAAGAGAAAAAAGTACAATTATTATAGCGATCCTGGTCTTTCCCCTTTTTGTTGTTGTATCCGGACTTAGGTTCCATGGAGATTACTGTCGTATATATCATGTTGTCATCCTTTAAGCCCTTATTTTTTGAGTTATAGGATGTGTTGGGCAGGTTTGTTACAGGTTGGGTGTGATTGGGAGCAAATGGTTGTTGCGCAGATTTTGGTGTCTTCGCTCAAGTGAGCCTTTTGTCGCTCGAGCGAGCTCTTTGTTTTAGATCCTTCGCTCGAGCCAGGGCTCCTTCGATCGAGCGAGATTTGAGTTTTGTGTCTGGTGGCTCGACCGAGAAGTCCTTCGCTCGAGCGTGCGACTGCGTCTGATTCTGGACCCGAGAGTTGCAATTCTTGCCTCGAGCGAGCTTTTCTTCGCTCGACGAGCGAGGTGTATGTTTTGAGTTTCTTCGCTCGAGCGAGCATTCTGTCGCTCGAGCGTGCTTCTGGGTTGCAGACCTGAAGCTTCGAATTGTTGGCTTGAGCGAGACTTTCTTCGCTCGAGCAAGGGTTTCTTGTGTCTGGTCGCTCGAGCGACCAATCCTTCGCTCGAGCGAGCCTATGTTATATCAGTAGGCAGCAGCGGGGAAACACTTCATTTTTCTTCCCCTTTTGTTTTCAAAACCCTAATTTCGGCTCTCTCTCTCTACACTTACCTTCTTTCTAGGGATTCATCTAGTATTAGTGAGTTTCTACCCTAAGTCCTTTGTAAGAAAGATAGAGGGAGGCTTGGGCTTCGTTTTAATCTGAGCATTAGTGGATTTGGAGCACTTTGGTTTTTCTTCATCTACTCCTTTGGGCTTCTAATTTCGAGGTAGGGATATCCTACTCCATCTTATGAGTTTTGTCTTTAAATTTTGGTCATTTTGATATGTTGGTGTTGTTGGGTAATTTTGAGAAAGTTAGGGTTTGGTTTGTAATTTAGAAAAGAGGGGTTTTATGATTTAAGGCACCATGTGTATTTAAAACCTTGAAAATGTGGGGTTTAAGGATTAAATTGATGAAATTTGGGTTATGGATCAATATTTTGATAAATGGGAGAATGCCTTAATTATCATAATAAATTAATTTGTATAATTAATTTGAAAAAATGTGGAAATGTGAAATTGAGTTGAAATCCATGAAATTGGGAAATTATGGGATTGAATGGTGTAGTTGGATTAATTAATCACTCACCTATGGAATAAGTTGAGATTATATCTGTTTAAATGCATTTATTTTCTGTTTAGAAATAACTGCTTTGGGCTATCGGTGGAGGATAGTCTTGATTGTTGTAGATACTGCATATTGATTAGGGAAAACTGAAACTAATCACATTGAATATGACGGTTGGAATAATACAGTGAATATGTGTATTGAATGGTCATTGTATATGACAAGTGTTTAAGTACATGGGTGCCGAGTCCCGTGGATGAAATTTTCGTAAAATGGCAATCTAAAAATATTATACATGGGTGCTGAGTCTCGCGGATGAAATTTCCGTAAAATGGCAACTTGAAAACATTTATACATGGGTGCCAAGTCCTGCGGACGAAATTTCCGTAAAATGGCAGATTTGAAAATATTTGTACATGGGTGCCAAATCCCGCGGACGCAATTTCCATAAAATGGCAGTTTGAAGCATTGTAGATATGCGATGTAGTCTCAGTTAAATTGTTTGGCCAGGTTCTGAGCCATGGTTATAAGTTGAAAATTGGATAAGAAAAGGAAAATGAAATGAAACATGGACTTTATGTCATGGAATTGGATCGTATTTTAAGTTGGGTTATAAGTGTTAACCATCTGTCGAATGCTATTATTTTAGTCATTGTTCATATTTGGTTTAGTATATCTCTTTTGGGCTGTGGCTCACCCTATATGGGACATCATTTTCAGGTACAGATGGTATGTCACCTCTAAGGACGTAGCTTGGGAGGCTAGAGGCTGAGAGACTTTTTTTTGTTGTTGTTTTTTTTTTTTTTTTTTTTTTTTGATGTATTGCATGTAAATTCAGGCCAATGGCTTAATATGTATATTGGGTTAGTACCCTCTCTTTGTAACCAAGTGTTGGCTTGGAAAGTTGTAAGCCCATAGGGCATTTACTTTTGTTGTCAACATGTAATACTTTTGTATGAACTACTCTGATGAATAGAAAGAGGTTTATTTCACTTATATCAATGCATGTCAAGAATGTTGGGTTTTATGTATTATTTTGAGGGCGTTACAATTATTGTTGTAACAGAGGTGCTTTGCAAAGTCTTGGTTTGTTATTGAAAGTGTTTATTGTGGACATTCGTTTGTATGACATGTATATATATATATGTATTGAATATAAGTTAATAGGGGAGCAATACACAATTTCGCAATTTTTTCCTAACAAATGTAACTATAATATTAAAGTGATACATTTTAGAAAATTAAAATATCCGATGGTAATATAGCATTACAGATTGACAATGTATAAATACAGTAACATATAAAAATTTATATTTATATTTTTATATATATATTTATACATATAGACATTGATATATATAAGATATCACAAAAGTAATATATAAATTTTTTTATAACAATATAATATAGGTAACAATGAGAAGTTAATTATTCATAATTAAATAGTTCGTCAAAATGTAAATGTTTAGTATTACGTTTTTGTACGCACCATTTTTTAATTAGATTATTAAATTCGCATAAAATTTGAAAGAAATTTGTGAATAATTTGTGTAAAATTAGAGTTCAGTGAAGAAAGATTTTAAAAAAGAAAAGTTTGTATTTGGTTTGGTTTATTTTTTCAAATTTTTTTTTGAATTTTTTGATTTTCATATTTTTTGTCTTTGACACTATTTTTTTAATAGCCTTTTATTTTCTTTTTAGATTCACTTAATTTAATACTTTTTATTTTTTAATTTTACTTTTAGATTTAGATTCACTTAACCTAAATACACGTGCAAAATAATTTGTTTTGTGTATTCTTTTTAGAAAAAAAAATTATGAATATTAAATAATAATAATAATAACAACAACAAAATTTAGATTCACTTAATCTAAATACACGTGCAAAATAATTTGTTTTGTGTATTCTTTTTAGAAAAAAAAAATTATGAATATTAAATAATAATAATAACAACAACAACAACAACAAAAAATATATATGTAATAACAAAAAATCAGTACAAGTTTGAATTATAATTTTTTACTAATATTTTACCTTTTAATTCTATTTAAATTATTAGATATTAGATTTTCATGTAAAATTATATTTTAAATATAAAATATGAAGACATTTCAGTATCTTTAATCACCAAAACTGAGAAAATGTGAAAAATCAAAAACTAAAAAACAACGAAAGTGATTCTTGTTTAGAAATTTGACATCATACCTTGGTTATTAAGTACAATGTAAAATATTACAATTCATAAAATATAATTTAAATAAAAAAAAGTGTATAAAGATGACTTGTGAATTTTTGAGCAGTAGCACAAATCACTATAGATTTGAAAGGGTAAACTATTATAATCGTTTTTGAGTGTTCAACTCTAAAAATAAAGAGAGTTGATTTATGTAGGATTCTTTATGACTTTTAGAAAATATAATAGATTTGAAAGGGTAAAATTAGGATTTAAAAAAAAAATCAAAAAGCATAATATGTTGTTCACACTTTTATAATAGTAGTAGATAAGTCTAGTTAATATGATTGATTGATAAATGTCCCTAATTTTTATTGAGCTCAAACTCAAATTCATTAAAATTTTAACAAATAAATTCAAACATATTAAAATTTGACTCGGCTCAATTTATTTGCAACCTTAATTATTACTGAAATTACACTGCCGTATCGTATTTTACCTAACAATATGTACACAATTCTTCTCCGTTAATGGATTGTTAATGACTTCACGAAAAATATTTATATCAGCTTTCTATATTAGTAAAATGCCAATTTTACCAGTGAAAAGCAATTTTCAACCATTTAGTTCCCAGAAAAAAAAAAAAATTTACTGTAGTTTTTTTTGCCAAGCGCACCACACCTTGTTAGTCTTTTGTTTAATAAAAAAAGTTAGAAAAATGTTAGAGATTTCAAAAGTCCTACTAAAATTTTTATCAAATGTTTTACAAGAGTTATGTAAGATATTTAATGGAAATTTTTGTAAAATTTTTAAAGTGTTGTTTGGCAAGTTGATTTGTGGCTAAAACAGCTACAAAAGACAAAATAGGCTATTTTAGTCACAATAAACAAAACATCACATCCAACCCATAATCATTACACTCTTCTCTCACAAAAAAAGTTAAAAAAGTCAAGAAGTCAAAAAATTCTTCCCAAACTAAACTTTTTAGTTCAAACTAAAATAGACAAAAAAATTAAAAAATTTACCCATTTTTCAAACGGAAGCTAAAATTCCTAACATCACTCAAAACGTTATATTGTGAAATGACAGGTAAGATTAAAAATGGAAGTAATGGAGATGTGGCAGATGATTCTTACCATAGATACAAGGTACACGGCATGTGAGCAAGGATTCTCGGCCGCCCTAAACGGCAGCCAAACCCAGCAGCCCCCAAAACGACGTCGTTTTGGGGGATTTGATGGAAATTTTTGTAAAATTTTTAAGGTGTTGTTTGGCAAGTTGATTTGTGGATAAAATAGCTACAAAAGACAAAATAGGCTATTTTAGCCACAACAAACAAAACATCACATCTAACCCATAATCATTACACTCTTCTCTCACAAAAAAAGTTAAAAAAGCTAAAAAGTCAAAAAATTCTTCTCAAACTAAACTTTTTAACTCAGACTAAAATAGTCAAAAAAAATTAAAAAATCTACCCATTTTTCAAACGGAAGCTAAAATTCCTAACATTACTCAAAAAGTTATATTGTGAAATGACAGGTAAGATTAAAAATGGAAGTAATGGAGATGTGGCAGATGATTCTTACCATAAATACAAGGTACACGGGTTGTACTCTTCAGGACTCTACCAGGTCTGTGTTTGGCCACGTTTCTAGGAGGGAGGCTAGTGATTATTGAGATTATTTTGCTCCCTTTTATGGCACTTCAATGAGTTTAATTTCTTGCCCAATTATTTATTTATTTATTTATTATTTTTGGTCCTTAGCCAAGGTGCTGTTTTTGTTCAGTTAGATTAATCTGTGATTTTTCAGCTTTGTTTTGCAGCTCTCTTTGTTTTTATTTATTTATTATTATTCATGTATGTATTGACATGTATCTGTGTAGTGCTCTTTATTTTACATCAATATATTTCTTTTTTGACAGTTAAAAAATAATAATTATAGTACTAACTTTATTTAAGCATGCCACAGGAAGATATAAGGATTTTTAAGGAAGTGGGCTTAGATGCTTACAGACAGGGATGGACTGGGGGGCAAACCCCCACCCAAAGTTTTGAAAAGCTCCCTAGATATAGTATTAAAATTACAAATATTTTAAAATTATATAGGTTCATCACTCTAAAATTTTTGCAAAAAATTTAAGAACCACCACCCCCTAAATTTTCTACTTTAAAATTTCAAAATTTAATTATTTTTTGATAAATACTAAAAATAGTAATAATAATAATTTTTTTAAGTATAATTACTTTTTATTTTAAATTCAGTGATGTTAAAATAATTGAGAATTTATTTGTTAATATGTTAAAGTCTTTTTTGTTTGATTAGGACCCAATTTTTTTTAATTGTTTGGTTATAACTAAATAAAAAAAATAAAAATACTACTCACGTGTAACCTGTCCCACGCTTGAAAATGTCCCCAAATTCTTATTAACCTAATTGTTTAAGCCCTTTTCTCCACTTTAAGCCCGCTTCTCCACTTTACTCTCTCTGTGTGTGTAAATGATATGAAAGCTGGAAAAGAACTCGCAGAACGTACAAAATATTCGTGGTCAAGGGTGCATTTTCTTCAATTTCTACGGCGACAACAGAATGTGCATTTTTAGCCATGAAAATTATAAAGACTAGATTACTGTAACAACCCTCACACTATTTACCGATTAATGACTGATTGATTACTGATTATTGCTAAACTGAGACCGATTATGAAAAATAATTGAACTGACTGAATTACTGAACTGACTGACTGAAATCTGAAACTGAATTGATTGCCTGTACCTGTTTGAATTGCATTTTATCTGTTTGTTTGGTAAATTATCTGTTCATGTTTTTATGTTTAAACTGCAAATTGAAGGCCTTATCGGCGGCCGACTCCGAAACCGATCGAAGTTTTATGATCATCATAATTTATGCGATTTTATGGTATATTTATCTGAAAACTGATTAGGTATGGTTAAATTAGATTAAAATAATGTCAAGAGTTGGCTTAATTACCATATTGCCATCCTTAGTGGCCCACTATATCAACACTTTGATCTTCATATTACACTTGAACCAACTCATTTCATCAGCCATCTTCTTGCACTCAACCGACCAAGGAGGAGTTATAGAGAGAGAGAGAGAGTGAGAGAATTGACTTGATCTTGAGGGTTTGGCTAGAAAGCTTGAAGGAATTGCTAGGGAATTGTCAAATTGAGCTCCTACACCTTAAATTCAAGACTTAGGTAAAGAATTCACCTTCTCATTGTTGTGTTTAAGTTCCTTCTAGCATGGATCATGGTAGTTTAAAGAGTTAAGGCATGAATTGGTTCAAAAGTGTTGAATTAGAGCTAAATTGTTGCATGCATGTACATATCTCACATTATTGAGGTTGTTCTTCAAAGATTTTCACATGCATGTCCATGTTAATGTTAAGAACCATGATTTCATCTTGTTTTTGGAACAATTGGCTCACTAGAGCATCAAATTGAAGCTTTGAAATGGTTTGAATTCATGCATGTCTTGTTTGTAGCATGTTCATGAAAATTGGGTTCAAATTGAGTTTGTTTGAACTACCCTTGGGCCTTAATTTCACAAATTAAGCTTTGAAACATATTACATCATGTGTTTACAAGTGTTTTCTAGAAAAATGGGTCCAAGAGGATCAAAAATTATGCATCAAAACTTGGTTTGAAGCTTGGAGCTCAAATCTGGAATTTCCAGATTTTGGTCGTCCGCTCGAGCGGGGGAAGTGCCGCTCGAGCGGAGAAATCGAGCATCCAGTACTTTGCACTGTTCATCAGTCCGCTCGAGCGGAGGAATGTACGCTCGAGCGGAGGATTGGGTGACACGCTCGAGCGGGCGTCGAACGTGAATTTCACCTATCCAGTACTTTTACAGTACGCTCGAGCGGGGGAGTTGCCGCTCGATCGTGGACCTTTGTTTGTCTGTCCGCTCGAGCGGGGTAACCTGCGCTCGAGCGGGACCCTGTTTCACTGAGAATTCTAAAAATGTTTTCTGAGTGTATCTTTACATCCTCATTCCATCCTAGGCATTCTTAGGCCTAGTTTAAGACATCTTGATGAGGATATAGATGTAGAACACACCGATGCAATTAGGGATTAAATTATTATTATCTTTTCCAACTGTGTAGCTTAGTGTGTGTTCCTTCTGTACTGTATAGGGTTGGCATACCGAGGAGACGCTCTAGCTTACTGTAGCCCAGAACTCTGTGAGTAACAATTGTGTAAAGATATGTTCAACTGTGAATATTTTCTGACTGTTTAACTGAACTGCTTTCTAAACTGTTACTGTTAATTGACTGAATGTATGTCCTATATTCTGAAATGTATTATGGCATCCTTAGCAACTACTGTTTACTGTTACTGCTACTGTTACAGAGATCTCTGTCGGTTCCCATGCTTGGAACCACTACTGTTTACTGTTATGATGGCCATCACTCACTGTTTGGTCTGTTAAGACCTGGTCCTTTGAGACCTACTGTTTATTGTACTGTTATGCTAATGGATGTACCACATATTACTGTTATGACTGAATGATTGATATACTGAATCAACTGATTGTTTTCATACTGAAAGGACATTCATTCTTAACCTCTTTACGCATTATGTTATTCACTGGGCTTTAGCTCACTGTTTATATATATATATATATATATGTAGGTGCTCAGCCACCAGACCGGAGCTAGGAGCGTGGATTAGACTCCAGTTTTGTCAAGCCAGCCTATGTGCCTCACTGCGAGGTTCCGAGCCTATCATGTTTAGGCTTAGGGGTGTTTTATCTCCCCCGTCCGTCTCTGTACTGTCTTTGTTCTACTGTATAGACTGAATGTTTTGCACTGTACTATACTGTTAATAGGGATTAGGTCCCTGTCTTCTGAATGACTGTGCATGTATGTATATACTGTTCTGTACCTAATGTAAATGTGTATGAGAAGTCTTTTTGCATATAGACTGTCACAGCTCATTGGACATTATTTATTTACTGTATTGGCTTCCGCCAGGCCCTGCACTCTGTTTTACTGTACTACTGTTAACCAGGACTTCGGTAATCTCGGATTACTGGCCGGTTACGGTGCTAAACCCATAGGGCCGGGTTTGGGTCGTGACAATTGTGTAACAGGATGGATGATGATTTTCTTTCAAGCTACTTGTTAACATATGTTGACAAAGACATTGCTCGAGATTTTGATATAGATTCCATCATAAATGCTTTTTATATTATGAAAGAACGTCGAGCACAACTTTAGATGCCTAAGTAGATATGTAAAGCAAATAGTTACTTTTTTTAAAATTAATATGGATTTATTAGAACATATCCAATTGTATTTTGATAATATTTTGTAATTATATATGATGAATGGAAACATCTAATTATATATTTTTGTGATATTTGGGTAGAAATTGATATTGTATATCACATGCTCATTACAAATTTTTTGATTACATATATACTCGCCCCCCTCCCAATATTAGAATCCTGCGTCCGTCCCTGCTTACAAATATTCTCAATCTTCTGGTCAAGAATATTGCCAAGTATTACATTTCTTCTTTTTATTTTTTGTGTATATCTAAGTGATTAGAAATATAAAACGTTTTTATTGTAAATGGAAGATAAAGAACAACATAAAATAAAACCAACCCTTAACGTTTGATAACATGCAAAAAATACTTGTGGTGTAAAAAATAACAAATCCTCTGAAATTTGGGGTCAGATCACAATCAACCATATATTGGCGGGAATTGGGGTCACTGCTGTGTCTTTGGCACAGCAGTAACTGTTGTGCCTCATTTTGTGGTATATTATGGATTTATTTTTATAATCTAAACCGTTGATCTTGTAAGGTTTGTTGAGTACTTCATGCCTATCAAAAATCATATTAATCGGATACCAATAACTATATGATTCATAACCAAAAAAAATAAACAATAAGTTTTTCTTTTGAAAAATAGTATAAAAATATGCAACTCGATCATATAGTTATTGATATCCGATTAATATGATTTTTAAGGTAGGCTTAAAGTACTCAACAAATCTTACAAAATGAACGGTTCAGATCATAAAAATAAGCCCATAATGCATCTCAAAATAAGGCACAACAGTCACTGTTGTGCCAAAGCCACAGCAGTGACCCCAAGTCCATATTGGCGTCACTAGGATTAAAGGCAAATAGGTTTTAACTTTTATCGATGTCAAATTTTAAAAACATCTTCATCTGTAAATAATGTAGTTTTCCATGAATTCAATACATATTTAACTTTTAGACTTTTTAATCTTGGTTATGAAGGCAATTTTAGTGTTTAGTCTTGTTAGAATTTAGGTTGGGTTTAGAACCTCACCCGATTGGATCGTTCATGGTGACATGACCCAAGACTCATAAAGACCTAGTCAAAGCGGACTTGGATTAACTTATCTTGGAGATAAGTGTGATTGGCCCACTATCTCATCTGTTGAAGAGATAGAGTTGTAGATAATTTTAACTGTATCAGTCTCCTAGAGTCTTTTTTATTTTTCTTCTCTCTCCATAGAAACACATAATAACCTTTGTACTATGAACAGTTTGGGTAATTCTCTAATAGTTCTACCTTACTATTGTACATGATTCACCCACATAATCCATAAATTCAATTTGAGTAAAAAAGGTATGCCCAAATCTATTTCTTTTCGTTAGGTATTATTTCT